GTATGTGTGTATGTATATATATATATATATATATATATATATATATATATATGTGTGTGAATGCATGTATGTGTGTATATGTGTATGTATGTGTATGTATGTATATGTATATATATTACTATTATTACTATTATTATTTTATTACGCTATTTTATTATTAGTAATATTACCATTATTATTTCTTTTATTTATTTATTTATTTATTTTTATTATTATTATCTTTGTTTAATTCAATTTAATTTAATATTTATTTATTTATTTATTTTTTTCATTTTTTTTTTTTTTTTTATTTTATTTTATTTTATTTTATTTTATTTTTATTTCTTTCTCTTTCCCCCCCCCATTCTTATTTATTTATTATTTTCTCTCCCTCTTCGGGTGTGGCGGTGGCGTGCCCTCCGGTCGGGGGGCGACCCCATACGGTTGCCAGGCCCGGACCTGGGGGGCTCTTGGGGCTCCGCACGGGGGCGGGGCTCCGGGAGCGGGGGCGCCCAATGCAGCCGAGCGCGGCTGCCCTCTCCGGGAGGACCATGTTCCTCCTGGTTCACACCCCCTTACCCCTCTCCCCCCAGGCTCCAGCACACAGAATGCACTCACCACATAGGGATTCGGGACCATGGGGGTGTCTGCCGGGTGGGGTTAAGGGTGCCTCCTAGGAGGTCCTCTTTTCCCCGCCCGGCGGGAACCCCCACCTCGTGTTTTAATGGCACCTTAGACATTACATCTGACCATACCCACACTAACACATAGGCCCAGGGGGCTGGGTGTGTTGAGCGGGGTCGGGGGGTGAGGCTCTTCGGGCAGTGGGGACTGCTCGGGGGGCCTGGCTCTGTGGCCCCGTGGGCCAGCCCAGCCCCCTGTCTTAAATACCTGTTAGACACGGAGGACCCTGAGTTGTCCTCAACCCACTTACACCATGGGGCCTGGGGGGTGAGGGGGGGGGGTCTTCCTGCGCGCCCGCTGCCCGGAGCTGCACAGTGCCGGGGGCCCGGGGGGTCCCGCCTGGTCCGGGGCGGCCGGGGGCCGCTAGCCCCGGGGCGGTCCGCCCGCCACGCCTGCGGGGCAAACTATTTTTTTTACTTATTAGTTACCCCCAATTTTAAGTTTATTTATTATTATTATTATTTATTTTTATTTTTTTTATTTTTTTCTCCCTTTTTGTTATTTATTTATTTACTTAATATTATTATTATTATTATTATTATTACGATTATTATTATTATTATTATTACTACCATTATTATTATTATTATTTTATATGTATGCATAAAATAATGTATAAAATATATAGCTTCTTTCCTTTATTTATTTACTTATTTTATTACTATTATTATTATTATTATTAATACTGTATTATTATATATAGGTATGTATATGGGTGTGTATGTATGTATGTATGTATGTATGTTTGTATGTATGTATGTATGTATGTATGTATGTATGTATGTATGTATGTATGTATGT